TTCTTACGAAGCCACTCCTTCGTTGCCCGGGCGGTGTGTTTGGGATCATTGTCATGCTGAAAGACCCAGCCACGTTTCATCTTCAATGCCCTTGCTGATGGAAGGAGGTTTTCACTCAAAATCTCACGATACATGGCCCCATTCATTCTTTCCTTTACACGGATCAGTCGTCCTGGTCCCTTTGCAGAAAAACAGCCCCAAAGCATGATTTTTCCACCCCCATGCTTCACAGTAGGTATGGTGTTCTTTGGATGCAACTCAGCATTCTTTGTCCTCCAAACACAATGAGTTGGGTTTTTACCAAAAAGTTCTATTTTGGTTTCATCTGACCATATGACATTCTCCCAATCCTCTTCTGGATCATCCAAATGCACTCTAGCAAACTTCAGACGGGCCTGGACATGTACTGGCTTAAGCAGGGGGACACGTCTCGCACTGCAGGATTTGAGTCCCTGGCGGCGTAGTGTGTTACTGATGGTAGGCTTTGTTACTTTGGTCCCAGCTCTCTGCAGGTCATTCACTAGGTCCCCCCATGTGGTTCTGGGATTTTTGCTCACCGTTCTTGTGATCATTTTGACCCCACGGGGTGAGATCTTGCGTGGAGCCCCAGATCGAGGGAGATTATCAGTGGTCTTGTATGTCTTCCATTTCCTAATAATTGCTCCCACAGTTGATTTCTTCAAACCAAGCTGCTTACCTATTGCAGATTCAGTCTTCCCAGCCTGGTGCAGGTCTACAATTTTGTTTCTGGTGTCCTTTGACAGCTCTTTGGTCTTGGCCATAGTGGAGTTTGGAGTGTGACTGTTTGAGGTTGTGGACAGGTGTCTTTTATACTGATAACAAGTTCAAACAGGTGCCATTAATACAGGTAACGAGTGGAGGACAGAGGAGCCTCTTAAAGAAGAAGTTATAGGTCTGTGAGAGCCAGAAATCTTGCCTGTTTGTAGGTGACCAAATACTTATTTTCCACCATCATTTGCAAATAAATTCATAAAAAATCCTACAATGTGATTTTCTGGATTTTTTTTCCTCAATTTGTCTGTCATAGTTGACGTGTACCTATGATGAAAATTACAGGCTTCTCTCATCTTTTTAAGTGGGAGAACATGCACAATTGGTGGCTGACTAAATACTTTTTTTCCCCACTGTATTTCCTTTGGGATATGTATTCCGAGTATATCCACATCACTATCAGACCATTTTATTGGTAAACTACATGGTAATGTAAAGATTGTATTTTTTAGTGATCCAATACGTAATATAGTACATTTGTCATAATTTGTTTGTAATCCAGAGAGGTTAGAAAATGTATCTAGATCCTCAATGAGGCTGTGGAGGGATTCTAGTTTTGGATTTAAAAGAAAACATGAATTATCAGCGTACAATGACACCTTTGTTTTTAAGCACTGGATTTCTAATCCCTTGATATTATTGTTGGATTTGATTTTAATAGCTAACATCTCGATGGCCATAATACATAGATATGCTGATAGTGGACAACCTTGTTTTACTCCTCTTGACAGTTTAAAACTTTCTGAGAAATAGCCATTATTTACTATTTTACACCTAGGGTTACTATACATGATTTTGACCCATTTTATAAGAGATTCTCCAAAATTGAAATGCTCCAGGCATTTATATATAAACCCCAGTCGTACTTTATCAAATGCCTTTTCTAAGCCTGCTATGAATAGCAGGCCTGGTTTCCCAGATTTTCCATAGTGTTCTATTGTTTCCAGTACTTGCCTTATATTATCTCCAATGTATCTTCCATGTAAAAAACCTGTCTGATTAGAATGAATACTACATTTTACATTTAAGTCATTTAGCAGACGCTCTTATCCAGAGCGACTCACAGCCAGTGAATCCCTTTTTTTTTTTTTTTTTTTTTTATACTGGCCCCCCATGGGAATCGAACACACAACCCTGGCGTTGCAAACGCCATGCTCTATCAACTGAGCTACATCCCTGCCGGCCATTCCCTCCCCTTTTTTAATGGACTGGATCTTTATATTTTCCACTTGTATCCTGTTTCAGTAATAATTAAATCAGACCTTCTTATTGAGTGTCTGATAATCTACCATTTACATAGGAGTGGTTAAAACATGCTAATAATAATCCTCTTAGTTTATCAAAAAAGGTTTGGTATACCTCGACTGGTATGCAATCCAACCCTTTAATTGCATCCAGAAGTTCCTCCTCTGTAATTTCACCTTCACATGAGTCTTTCTGTATGGCTGTTAATTTTACATTATCAATATAAAAAAATCTCTACAATTAGCTTCAGTTAGAGGAGATGGAGGTGACTGAAATGAAAACATATGCTTAAAGTACTTTGTTTCCTCCTTCAAAATATCATTTGGTGAATCATGGGTGGCTCCGTCAATTGTAACCAGTTTCATTAAATTAATTTTGGTAGCATTCCTATGTTGAAGATTAAAAAAGAATTTGGTGCATTTTTCCCCATATTCCATCCAGTTTGCTTTATTTTGTATAATATATTACACTTGATCTTTCTTGAATAAGTTTCTCAATTTCTTTCTGTTTTTCCTCTAATTTATTCTGAGCCTCTATGTTACAGTATTTATTGCCAGACCAGTTGTTGTTAATCATGTTGCTGTTGGCTCTTCACGGGCTGAGAAGTAAAAACTACAAGACCCATAAACAGATGATCACTGGGGCCTGTTCAGGAAGCAACATTAGTTTTCTTACAGAAATAGATAGAAATGTATTGTGTTGAACAGATATGATTGTTTCTCAGGTAAAATAGGGAATTGTGTTGGTTTTGTTTCCTTTCTATCTGGAACATTGTGAACATATCACCTCCAACTGAATAGAACACACCTTTTGGAATCAGGCCACTGACTTATTAGTGAGGTAAGGTATTTATTTGGTAAGTAGAAATGTGAACTCAGATAGGATAAAGTACTGATGAAGCTCAATGCTTCAATAGATGGTAACACCTTACCTGAGTGAGAAATATAGGCTTTCATGGAAAATTACTGTGATTGAGTCAGAAATTGACAACCTATTCCCTATGTAGTGCACTACTTTTGACCAGAGCCCTATTGGTCCTACATAGTGTGCACTATAAGGTATAGGGTGCAATTTTTGGACACACCTGTATGCCTGTTTCCCACTCAAGCACACTATGAAAAACACTTTGAATGATGCTAAATAAAGCAAGGGACCCCAGTGAAGTGGAATATAGATCGTTTTATTTGTTAATTTTAGATAGAATGTTAAAAAATGTAAAGAAGTCTGCTTTGTTTTGATAGAATATGCAACATATTTACAGAAGTCATGTACACTTTGTGCTTGATATGGTGTTATATACAAAGGTCAAATTAATAGCTATAGGTAACTCTTTGTCTGTGTCTGATGTGTTATTCAGAAGAATGATGTCTTATTTTGACATAGTGTGTAACGTACTACTACATTTTGTTGAAACTATGAAAGAGCAAATAACATTTAACTGAAAAGTAATAGAGGAAATGTACATTCAGGATCAAACCCTAGCTTGAGATCAGGGGATCCAACGTAATCAATGTATAGGCATACATCCTGGTGACTGTCAGTGAAGTGAAGGATAGTGAACAATTCAAAATGATATTTAGTTTGGATTCCAGGTTAGTGACTAGCAGCGCAAAGGAGCAGCGCAAAGGAAGAGTATGCCCCCTCTCATTGAAGCCATCAAGTTCAAGGCCGCAGGCTGTTTTTTCCAGAAAGCAGGATCACCCATTATAGGAAATGGGAAAATGGCAACCTTTCTGGTCAATATTCGAAGAATAAAAACAACAACAAAAAACATTTGAAGACAATCATGTTACCGATACTTGCTTCTATTACATCAGATGTATGTCCTTGAACTGATCATAAAAATAAAAAAAATCACACAAAGAAGTTATATGGATAATTTAGTTGCTATGGCAGCCTGCAGTACCCCGGTCGTCCTTCAACATGAGATACTCAACGAGAGGTGGCAGCACTGAGCTAGCCTGCAACATCACTTCCTGGAGTAGCTCAAACTGTGCATGTTATGTCTACATAAATCTCCCCCATGAGATGCCATCTTAGCATGCTAAATCTGACTTCCTAACCTTCAAATGTGCCATAGAGTTTTCACTTCGGAATGAATGAAGTGACATCATCGATGGCTTTGTGTCCAATTATGTACAGTCAACGGTTGGGCCTCTAACAAGGTGTTTTGTATAGGTTTAACTTCTAAGGTGTTTTGTGATATATCGAACTTTAAAACATTTTAGTGTTCCCCCTCTTGATGGCAAAAAAAATTAATAAATAAAGTTTTACGTTTTAAAGTACATTTCCTGAAATTCTACACATTTTGTCATTGGCGGACAGAAAATCTTGCAGTTTTAAAGCCAATTTTCTACAATTCTACAAATGTTGTCATTGGTTGGAGAGAAATTAGCAGTTTTAAAGCTAATTTACTACAATTCTACACATTTTGCCAGGACTTATGCCATGTTCATATGATATCTGAGTGAGAGTGACTGACAAAATCAATGGGGGCCCCTGGAGGTCAGGCGCCTGGGCACGTGCCCTGCGTGCCTGGTCAGTAGTCGGCCATGATTACTACAAGGTGTGTATAGTCAATGGTCTCCCGAGTGGCGCAGCGGTCTAAGGCACTACATCTCAGCGCTAGAGGCTGTATCACAATCCGGGCCGTGATTGGGACCGGGGTAGGCCGTCATTGTAAATAAGAATTTGTTCTTAACTGACTTGCCTAGAAAAAAAAAAGGTTAAATCAAATAAAAGATAGCTGGCTAGGCTAACTTACCAATCTAAAAAAAATGGTAGCTGACATGGGCTAATTTAGTGACTGTCAGTGACTGACGTTACAAGAGAAACTACCAAATGTCTAAATTTCACCTTATGTATTCTACTATTCTAACTCTCAAAAGGAAGCTGAGACCCTGACTGAGTTCCTAATTTATTTATTTTTACTAAATTGTCACTGAACCTCTAGCAGGGTGTTCTGTTATTGTCTGTCCCTCTTTTAGGATGAATGGTGATAGGAAGACCCTCTAGCAAGGTGCATTGTGAAAGAGGATTGGCTGAACCATGCCTGTGAGCATCTTGGGCACGTGAATGCTGACGATCTCAGAGATCATCTCTGGATAGCTGACTCTGGTGGGCAGAGACTGGGCCTGGATAAACAGATCATAGGTGAACTGGTGCAGCTTCCTCACAATCTGAGAGAGAGAGAGAGAGAGAGAGAGAGAGAGAGAGAGAGAGAGAGATAGAGAGAGAGAGCGAGAGATAGAGAGCGAAGAGAGAGAGATAGAGAGAGAGAGAGAGAGAGAGAGAGAGAGGAGAGAGAGAGAGATAGAGAGAGATAGAGGGTGGGACGTGTGGTTGGAGAGGGGTGGGGGGGGGTGAGATGTCAACTTTCAGTACCACCAAAGCAGGGGGGGTTGAACAGGTCAGGGGTCAGAGGTTAGGGGTAGTAGATCTATATTACAAGAGCTGTGTTCGAGTACTCATACTAACCGCACTAACCTTACTATTTGTGACGTAAATTGAGTATGTAGTATGCTTATTGATCATAGTATGGACATAGTTAGTATGCTAAAAGTTCCCGGATGTCGTACTAAATTCGCCAAAATACGAAGTACACAAGCAGTAGACACTATTTCCGTGCTTTTAGGGCCCATAATGCAATTCATCATAAAATGGGGGTGGTTTCAAAACGTTTTCACATTTGAAGAAAATGGCGGAAAATATGCAGCCGAAGTCCAATGAGAGTGGATACATATTCATTGCTTTAACTAATTATGACAAATGTTAAGAAAATGTTGAGCAATGTAATAAAGTAATGACTATTCAAATAAGTTACGTTACACGTTATATTGGCTGACAATTTGTTAGCTACACTATCCTTACGAATCGCATAGCATTACAGCAGTATGTACCGGTATGTTAACTAGTTACCTAACGTTAGTTGGCTACTAATACATCAAACTTGCCAGGCAGTATATTAACTATAATCTAACTAACTACCCAACGTTTATTGACTTGATTATTCACATCATTCTTAGCTAAGTGGTATAGTCGTTGTGCGTTCTCAATGGACATCGTTAACTCTGGCAATCTACTCCGATTTCAGAGCACTCTTGTCTGAGTGTGCTAGAGCGCAGAATAACTGATGAATTTACAAACACTCAACACCCGTTGAATATGGCCAGTGTCAGTAAACGTCTGCAAAAAAAAGCGTAGTTAAATTGTTGCCAGCAGCAGTTACAGTCACCAACACTCTGGATAAAATGAAAACAGCCTAACCAGCTCTGCTAGGGCGAGTAAAATGGTCAGAGTGAGGTATTCTCTCATTTGCGTCTGGAAATTGCTAGCAAGTTAGCCAGTTAGCTTGGGTGCTTGACTGCCATTGTGAGGTCAGAATGCTTGGATCAACCCTACTCCTCGGCCAGAGCATCCAGTGACACGCTCCGAGAGCAAAATGCTCTGAATTTACGAATGGACAATCTGACAACGATTGAATTTACGAACACACCCAAAAACATAAAATGTCTAGCTAGTCATTTGTTATGCTAACAAGAGGTTGCATAGGAACAGTCAGCATCAACTTTCGGTAGACAGGCGAAGCGCTAGTACGCTCAACTGAAAGGCTACTGTTAGTTTACAGTATACTAAAATTAATTAATAGTATATAGTATGTAGTATACAGTATGTTAGTGTAACAGGTCAAAGAATTACAGATTTTTGCAACTGTTCATTTTCTATTTTTTATTTTATTTTGTGAGTTGATTTCACCAAAATATTGTATTGTTCAGCATTTCGTGTAGTTTACAGATATTGGGAGAGTTAGTTGTGTAAGTGCGCCCTCTAGAGTTGGTTTGGTTATATGCGGAGGGGTCTCATGCTTTTCTCAGTCTGCATTGTACTCGACTGAGAGAGGTATGTGTTCACTTCGGCGTGATATAAACTTGATATACCTGTTAAAACTAAAACGTTTCAGTGCACATAGTAACTTGTATGTATATTATATGATGAGTGTACGTACATTTAATCAAGCTGTGTCGTGAATTTAGCTATTTTTGAGAGTTTGAGAAATTGCTAACTTAGCTAACCTCGTGTTTTGTTTAGCTGTAAGTTAGCGATCGTCATTCTATCCTCTTGTGTTGAAGCCCACGTTGTTCTTTTTATGTTAGGCGGATTCTGGTCGAGGGTAGAGTTTTGAACATTTTCTCTCCTTGATGTTGAACAGGTATGTATTCCCTATATCAGGTTAAAAATATGTGTTCATTTAAAATGTTTTAATGTATTGATTAGTGTTTAATGGCACTGAAAAGCTCAAATGTGAAGGATTACATGTTGCTTTGTGCATATTACTGTATGTATTACCTATTTGAAAGATGGTTTATGTCATGTTGCACAGTATTAATGTAAAGGCTAAAATCTCAGAGTTTTTGGCAGAGATAACATGCAATATGACACATACATAAGATATACACCAGATGCGATGTTTATTTTCCAATTATGTTGTATTTTATTCCTTGGATCTTTGAATGTGATTATACTGAGTCTGCATTGTACTCGACTGAGAGAGGCGGATTCTGGTCGAGGGTAGAGTTTTGAACATTTTCTCTCCTTGATGTTGAACAGATTGAGAGAGTGGTACACAATAAAGTGCCTTCAAGTACGCCAGTGTCTTGTCTTCAGTGCACCGGAACACAACGCAGTAGTCGGCAACGAGCAGACCGCGCCGGCTACATTAGCATGGGTATTCGAACACAGCTCAGGTGTAGGTAGTCCAGTAGCTGTGTTAGCTGGAACAGGTGTTGTGTACGGGTTAGGGGTTAGGGGTTAGAGGTAGCAGCAGGGCCGGCCCTGGCCATAAGCGAGCCCCCAACCCCCAAAAAATGATTTTAGGAGCTCAGTCGGGGTCTCAACTTACTGTTGAGAGTTAGAATAGTAGAATATACAACATGCCATTTCAAAATGTGGTAGTATATCTGCAGTTTCTCTTGTTATGTCAGTCAATTAGCACGTCTGCTATCAGTTTTTAAATTGGTAAGTTAGCTGAGCCAGCTACACTGCATTACCAAAAATATGTGGACACCTGCTCGTCAAACATCTCATTCCAAAATCATGGGCATTAATATGGAGTTGGTCCCACCTTTGCTGCTATAACAGCCTCCACTCTTCTGGGAAGGCTTTACACTAGATGTTGGAACATTGCTGCGGGGACTTGCTTCCATTCAGCCACAAGAGCATTAGTGAGGTCGGGCACTGATGTTGGTTGATTAGGCCTGGCTCACAGTCGGCGTTCCAATTCATCCCAAAAGTGTTCAATGGAGTTGAGGGCAGGGCTCTGTGCAGGCCAGTCAAGTTCTTCCACACTGATCTCGACAAACCATTTCTGTATGGACCTCACTTTCTGCAAGGGGGCATTGTTATGCTGAAACAGGAAAGGGCATTCCCCAAACTGTTGCCACAAAGTTGGAAGCACAGAATCGTCCAGAATGTCATTGTATGCTGTAGCTTTAAGATTTCCTTTCACTGAAACTTAAGGGGCCTAGCCCAAACCATGAAAAAGCAGCCCCAGACCATTATTCCTCCTCCACCAAACTTTACAGTTGGCACTATGCATTCGGGCAGGTAGCGTTCTCCTGGCATCCGCCAAACCCAGATTTGTCCGTCGGACTGCCAGATGGTGAATTGGCGTTTCCACTGCTCCAGAGTCCAATAGCGGCGAGCTTTACACCACTCCAGAGGCAGTTTGGAACTCGATTTTTACGCGCTATGCGCTTCAGCACTCAACGGTCATGTTCTGTGAGCTTGTGTGGCCTACCACTTTGCGGCTGTGCCGTTGTTGCTCCTAGACGTTTCCGCTTCACAATAACAGCACTTACAGTTGACCAGGGCAGCTTTAGCAGGGCAGACATTTTACAAACTGACTTGTTGGAAAGGTGGCAACTTTATTTGAAACAAGAGATGGCAGAGGCTTGGAGACTTTTGAAGATGGCAGAGGGTCACTAAGGTTTTCCCCAGTGGTTTATTTCAAGGTGGACTATCCCTGTTGACTGTAGTGATCTTTATGCCCTAAGTTTACCAAGGAGTCTACAACTGGGGAGGGCAACAGGTGACCTGACTTCTGTCTTGTTTCCCCCATGGATCTGACCATCGTTTCCCCCCTGCTCAACCCTTCATCTGGGCCTTTACTCAGTGGTGTAAAGTACTTAAGTAAAAACACTTTAAAGTACTACTTAAGTAGTTTTTTAGGGTATCTGTATTTTACTATTTATATTTTTGACAACTTTTACTTTTACTCCACTACATTCTACAGAAAATAATGTACTTTTTACTCCATACAGTTTCCCTGAAGTCCTTGTTACATTTCGAATGCTCAGGCAGGACAGCAATATGGTCCAATTCACACATCTACTGTGTCAATATAATGCGTTGTCATCCCTAATGCCTCTGATCTGGCGGACTCACTAAACAGAAGTAATGCATTTGTAAATTATGTCTGAGTGTTGGAGTGTGCCCCTGTCTGTCCGTAAATTTTAAAAACTAGAAAATCGTGCTGTTTGGTTTGCTTAATAGAAGGAATTTGATGTATAGCATTTACTTTTACTCAAGTATGACAATTGAGTACTATTTCCACCACTGTACTTTTAGACATTACTCAAGTAGTATTTTACTGGGTGACTTTCATTTTTACTTGAGTCATTTTCTATTAAGGTACCTTTTACTAAAGTATGACATTTAAGTACTTTTTCCACCACTGCCTCAACCCTTCATCTGGACCTCAACCCTTCATCTGTACTCAAACCTTCATATGGGCCTCAACCCTTCATAATATAACATTTAGCAGACGCTTTTATCCAAAGCGACTTACAGTCATGCGTGCATACATTTTTGTGTATGGGTGGTCCCGGGGATCGAACCCACTACCTTGGCGTTACAAGCGCCGTGCTCTACCAGCTGAGCTACAGAGGACCACAACCCTTCATCTGGACCTCAACCCTTCACTACCTCGGTTGGAAGAGACGTGGACAGCACGGGTGAGGAAGGTGCACATGGAGATTGGATCGGACACAGGATGTGACCTGTTGGACTGGCACCTGCCTCTGTGGATGACCGTGGAAGATCTTCCAGCCAGAACTGTCAATAGGCTAACTGAAATGTTTTGTTTTGTTGTTTTAAGAGCGTCTTTGAGATTCTTGCTGTAATGAAAAGCGCTATACTAATTCAATCTATTATTATCATTATCATTATATTACCGGGTGTCGGTAGTCCAGTCGCTGTGTGAGCTGGAACAGGTGTTGTGTACGGGTTAGGGGTTAGAGGTTAGAGGTCAGAGTTAGTGTATATTACCGGGTGTAGGTAGTCCAGTAGCTGTGTGAGCTGGAACAGACGTTGTGTATGGTGTTTTTCTCCATGGTGGCTGGCCAGACGATCCAGCTCCTTGATGTAAAAGATCCTCAGCTTGTCAAAACACTTCTGATTCCTCAGACCCTCCACAGGGACTAACAGACAACACACACAAAGAAATAAGCAAATATTAAACCAGATAATGATACAGTTACTTAGTGTCAGTGTGTCAGTGATGTGACTCACTGATGCTGAAGAGGAGCAGAGCCTTCATACAGAGGAACTCTTCCTGGGTGACTCTGAGCACACAGAACCTCTGGGACAGCAGACGGAACCGGACACAGTGTTCATACATACTGGACACATGCATCCGCTGACTGGGGTGGGGGGGGGGAGAGGTAGAGAGAGAGAGGAGAGAGAGAGACAGACAGAGCGAAAGCAAGGCAGATAAAGAGAGGGTGAAAAGATGAGACAGAAAGAGAGAGAGAAGGTGAGAGAGAGAGAGGGTAGGCAGGTGAGAGAGAGGAGAGGAGACGGTGAGGAGAGGACGTGTGAGAAGGTGTGAGGAGAGGGTGAGAAGGTGTGAGAGAGAGAGAGGGTGAGAAGGTGTGTAGAGAGAGAGGGTGAGGTGTGTGAGAGAGAGAGAGGGGGGGGATCAGAAGTTGAGAGAGAGAGGGTAAAAGTGAAGAGTGTGTGAGAAGGTTAGAGAGAGGTAGGGTGAGGGTGCGCGAAGGTGCTCGCGAGCGCGCGGAGCGCGGTGCGCGCAGACTCCGTGCGCGCTTGTGCCCGTGACCCAGTGTTCGCCCGCGCCGCCCCCGCGCGGGTCGAGATCCGCCCGGGCGTCCGCCCTGGGTCTGTTTTGCGCGCGCGCGCGCGGGGCGAGCGTGGTTCCGCCGGTCCGCCGAGCGCGCCGCGCTGCCGGTTGCTGCGCGGAGCCGCGCGAGCGAGAGAGTGTTGAGGCTCTCGACCCGTGTCGACAGTGTGCGATATCGAGCCAGAGTGAGAGTGCGCGCGGGGTGGCCTGTACGCAGCAGGCGAGCGTGTGAATAGAAGAGACAGTCGGTGACGACGGGTGTCTCGGTAGCTAGACGCGCTCTCTCGGTGATCCTCTCGGGCGTGAGAAGGGCGAGCGAGGGGCGACTGGCTGTGGATGACGGTCGATCTCTTGCCTCTCTCGCTCTCCTCTCCCTCGCTCGCGCTACGCGCGCTCTGAGCTTTCTCCTGTTCCTCGCGTTTCCCTTCTCGCTCCTCGCCTCTCTACCGATAGCTCTCTCGCTCGCGGTCCGTTCGCAGCCCTGGGTGAAGGTGAGAGAGACACACAGACAGACAGACAGACAGAGGGTAAAGAATTGTTTTACTTTGTGAGTGTAATGTTTACTGTTAATTTCAGATTGTTTATTTCCCTTGTTAATTTCCCTTTTGTTAATTGTCGATAGAGAGAGAGCGAGCTAGAGAATTCGAAAACAAACCCAATTTGGGTAAACTCCCATATCTATTGGGTGAAAAACCACAGTGTGCCATCACAGCAGCAAGATTTGTGACCTGTTGCCACAAGAAAAGGGCAACCAGTGAAGAACAAACACCACTGTAAATACAACCTATATTTATTTATTTTCCCTTTTGTACTTTAACTATTTGCACATTACATTTTACATTTTAGTTATTTAGCAGACGCTCTTATCCAGAGCGACTTACAGTTAGTGAGTGCATACATTTTCATACTGGCCCCCCGTGGGAAACGAACCCACAACCCTGGTGTTGCAAGCACCATGCTCTACCAACTGAGCTACATAATATGACATTTGACATGTCTTTATTCTTTTGGAACTTTTGTGAGTGTAATGTTTACTGTAAAAAACAACAACATTTATTTCACTTTGGTTTATTATCTATTTCACTTGCTTTGGCAATGTAAACATATTTTTCCCGTGCCAATTAAGCCCCTTAAATTGAATTGAATTGAATTGAGAGAGAGAGAGAGAGAGAGAGATTGTCATCAATATTGTATTCAGCAAGACAATAGTTGTACTCACTCATTGAAGATGAGGTCAGGAGCGAAGTAGAGCTCTCTGGCATCGGAGTTAGTATAGGATCTCCAGCCCAGAGCGAACACCATCAACCCCAGCCACGAAGACTGGATCACTGACATCTGGTCTTCTACATGCAGCTCCCTGAAACCTACAGTACAGGGGGAATAAAATAAGTTATGAGTATAGCCCCCTCTGGTGGGAAATAAATAAAAAAGAAGAACTGAGGCTACAGCACTGGTATCAGTCATACACAGACCAGCCTAGAGGGTTGGTACCATGTAGTGGTTAGGTAACAGTGGGATACAGGGTTAGAGGGTTGGTACCATGTAGTGGTTAGGTAACAGTGGGATACAGGTTTGGAGGGTTGGTACCATGTAGTGGTTAGGTAACAGTGGGATACAGGGTTAGAGGGTTGGTACCATGTAGTGGTTAGGTAACAGTGGGATACAGGGTTAGAGGGTTGGTACCATGTAGTGGTTAGGTAACAGTGGGATACAGGGTTAGAGGGTTGGTACCATGTAGCGGTTAGGTAACAGTGGGATACAGGGTTAGAGGGTTGGTACCATGTAGTGGTTAGGTAACAGTGGGATACAGGGTTAGAGGGTTGGTACCATGTAGTGGTTAGGTAACAGTGGGATACAGGGTTAGAGGGTTGGTACCATGTAGTGGTTAGGTAACAGTGGGATACAGGGTTAGAGGGTTGGTACCATGTAGTGGTTAGGTAACAGTGGGATACAGGGTTAGAGGGTTGGTACCATGTAGTGGTTAGGTAACAGTGGGATACAGGGTTAGAGGGTTAGTACCATGTAGTGGTTAGGTAACAGTGGGATACAGGGTTAGAGGGTTGGTACCATGTAGTGGTTAGGTAACAGTGGGATACAGGGTTAGAGGGTTGGTACCATGTAGTGGTTAGATAACAGTGGGATACAGGGTTAGAGGGTTGGTACCATGTAGTGGTTAGGTAACAGTGGGATACAGGGTTAGAGGGTTAGTACCATGTAGTGGTTAGGTAACAGTAGGATACAGAGTTAGAGGGTTAGTACCATGTAGTGGTTAGATAACAGTAGGATACAGGGTTAGAGGGTTGGTACCATGTAGCGGTTAGGTAACAGTGGGATACAGGGTTAGAGGGTTGGTACCATGTAGTGGTTAGGTAACAGTGGGATACAGGGTTAGAGGGTTGGTACCATGTAGTGGTTAGATAACAGTGGGATACAGGGTTAGAGGGTTGGTACCATGTAGTGGTTAGGTAACAGTGGGATACAGAGTTAGAGGGTTAGTACCATGTAGTGGTTAGGTAACAGTAGGATACAGGGTTAGAGGGTTGGTACCATGTAGTGGTTAGGTAACAGTGGGATACAGGGTTAGAGGGTTGGTACCATGTAGTGGTTAGGTAACAGTGGGATACAGGGTTAGAGGGTTGGTACCATGTAGTGGTTAGGTAACAGTGGGATACAGGTTTGGAGGGTTAGTACCATGTAGTGGTTAGATAACAGTGGGATACAGGGTTAGAGGGTTGGTACCATGTAGTGGTTAGGTAACAGTGGGATACAGGGTTAGAGGGTTGGTACCATGTAGTGGTTAGGTAACAGTGGGATACAGGGTTAGAGGGTTGGTACCATGTAGCGGTTAGGTAACAGTGGGATACAGGGTTAGAGGGTTGGTACCATGTAGTGGTTAGGTAACAGTGGGATACAGGGTTAGAGGGTTGGTACCATGTAGTGGTTAGGTAACAGTAGGATACAGGAAGAGTGGTTTACCTGGCATGGCTTTAGCCCAGTTCACCACAGACACCAGTTGTCTCTCTCCCAGCTCATTGAGACTGGACAGTAGGGAAGCGAAACAGTCTGGCTGGGAGGTGTCATGGCCTGCGTTGATCATTCCTGGCTCGATGGAACTCAGGACATTGAGGAGGGAGGGGCGCAGGCTGGGGGAGGGGCCAAGAGTGGGAGCCTGCGGGGCAGCACAGCCTACAGAGAGGGATTTGAGATGAGGTGAGTTGAGTTGAGACATGAGATATGTGACAAAATGAGACAAGTTTAGACTGAATATGTGCTGCCTTTCATCCAGAGTTGGGGTAAATTCTGAATTGAGTTTTAATGCTTTCTTTGTCAGGGCTCAATTGAAAAAATAGCATTCTGGCTAAGAAAAATATTTTACATATGGTAATATTGATCCTCACATTGAGCCTGTGGGGAAGTGGTGGCTAACTCTAGGCCCCCAGTCCTCTCTCCTTCCCTCTCTCCAGTCCTCTCTCCTTCCCTCTCTCCAGTCCTCTCTCTGACAGGTGATTGTATTGTCCCCTCCACTCCTCCTTTCAGCGGGCCAGCTCCCCTCAGCTTCCGGCCTGAAATGCACCACACACAAAAGTAGGACAGAGAGAAAGGCCCTATTACCACTACGAGATATGAAGGAGTCTGAGGAGCAGGGTGGCGAAAGAGAATTTTACTTTTCCATTCACGTTAAATCCTTGCCTTAACCTTTCGTTGTGACTGGCGACATGACATTCTTGGTCTGCAGCTCAAATTGCCCGTAAATATCAGAGTAGCCACTAGCCAGTAACCACAAACTATTTAACAATGATAGAAACTTTTCTTTTAAAACATTTTACACTCTTGAATAACGCAACCAAACCATTTTACTCTCTTGAATAATTCAAAAATTCACAAGCATGTACGTGCAGACAATTAAAAGGTTGGTTTTCTCGTTTGTAAGCTACACCTACATTGTTGCTTCAAGACAAAAGCCCAGTAATGTTAGCCTATAAAAAAATAACGATTAACCCTCTCATTCGAATATAAAAGTACGGAAGGCCTACCTTACAACAAACCAATCTTCATTTTTTATCAATATCATGCAAATCAGTACATGTGGTAAAAGCAAATTGCTACTGAAAACGTTGGTACAAGTGAATTCACTGCAACAAGCTGTTTCATATGGAAGCCCATAAACATGCCTCGATTTGTCAACGTGCACAATTAGTCTGTGCTTCAATCTGATCAACTGTAGCCTACTGATAACAACCACAGCTTCAGGTGGGTGATTGTCATGAAACCAGTTTTAAACATGTCTATAGCAAATTGAGTTACAAAACCATGATGCATCTGCAAAATCAACTATCATTCTGGGGACTAAGATGTCTAGTTTTTGGCGAAGTGTCTTATTTTAAATACATTTTACATTTTCACCTGGATTTTGTACATTTTCACCCCAAATTTTCATTACCGAAATACATCCGGATTAAATTATCGAGTCCTTTTATAAAATGTTACTTTAGAAAAACCTAACTGATTTGAATAAAACACAAAATATGTTGCTGCAGTTTGACCATAGAAATCATAAAAATGGTATACTAGTTGAAGTTTACATTAAACTATAATATTTTTTTACGTACAAACAGTGTCTGTGGACATGTCTCATTACCATAACACTTGTTCAAGTTCCTGTAAAAACTCCAATCAGTTTTTAAATTGTAAGGTTCTGTATTTATTTTCTTAGTCAACCGTGTGTTCTTGAACGTAGCCCTGTTTCTCTGTGTTCTTGAACGTAGCCCTGTTTCTTTGTGTTCTTGAACGTGTAGCCCTGTTACTTTGTGTTCTTGAACGTAGCCCTGTTTCTTTGTGTTCTTGAACGTAGCCCTGTTTCTTTGTGTTCTTGTACGTAGCCCTGTTTCTTTGTGTTCTTGAACGTAGCCCTGTCTTTCATTTTTGTTCATTGATTTCACCTGTGTTAGTTACTCACCTGGTCTCATCAGCTCCTTATTTAGTTCAGTTCTTTCTGTTTTGTTCCTTGTGCGGTATTGTTCGTTTTGACTCTACTAAGCCTTTTCCTAGCTCGTTTGTGAGAACCAGTTTTAGCCTTCAGTCCTAGTTTTGTTTCTCCTGCCTGTTTGCCTACCTGTGTATGACCATTGCCTGCCTGTGACCACGATTCCTGTCTTCTGTGAAGGCGTAATAAACACCTGCCACGCTCTGCGCATGAATCTACACCTTTTTCTCCCTGAGTATTCATTACATAAATAAAGTTTTATTCACCCTTGATGCATCATTTGGAGGAGTAGTAGAAGCTAATTTATTTGTGTATATGCCTTCAGAATTATGTTCTTATTCTCAAACACCCCCTTTACCCCACTTGGCCTTCTCATTACTAACGTCATGTTTTTATAGCCTAAACTATGTATTTATAGACAAAAATTGGCCAATTTATTTGTGTTCTGAGAAAATGTGATCGTGATCAAATTTGGTTTATAGTCACACTTAGGGTGGCTAGGATACCTAGGCCTTTTTAATCCAATATGATTGACTGGAATTAATCAATCAACACAATAATGATGACATACTGTAATTACAGATGCAAAGGCCTACACCCTGCTACCCTGAATACAGCCAGCTCAGCCCTGTTAGTTTTGGTCCAATCGCAGATGTTGTCTCTGTCTGTGTAAAGTGTTTTAATGTTTCAATCCTCCCTAGGGCCAGGAGTTTTTCCAGGATAAAAAAAAAAACCTTATGACCTGATTAGATTCATAATCTGGTCCAATCATAGTCCATTCTTTACAGCTAATTTATTCCTATGTCATACGCTCCAACTAGGGTCCGGAGTTGGTTAAGGTTACTACAAGCTCCACTCCGTTGATCTACATGCGTGCACGTGGGTAGAGTGGGATTTTTACAAAATCAGATTAATAATAAAAATATATACCAGGCAAATATTCTTATAGTGGCCGGTGTAACCTAAAACATTATCCCAGTTTGATATGTTGCTTACTCATTCCCATATCAGCTAAAAATAGAACGTCATGTTTTGGTCACGGAGAAGGAAGCTAGATGACTAGCTAGTTGGCTACAGCAGTTTCTACCATTTCACAATAGCCTGTAATCACTAGTTATTACTTCTAAACAAAATAACATTTGGGGTGGATTCTAATAAGGCTACAATGTTGTTTGGTTTATTGTTTGAACAGTAGCTGAGATTATATTCACTTGTCAATGCAAAATAGGCTTCTTAGATGCATAGCCTATAGCCTATACTGTTGATCAGATTAAGGAACCAAGCAAGCTTCATTGCCTACACAACACTGCCCCCACGGCTACGGAAGAGATGATACAGCGCGTTACAGTTTGCGTGTGGCACGGGAGTACGTCGAATGTCTGAGCACACTTTCGTGACGAAAAACGACATTGCGACATGCTCCTTCGGCACCGTTTGCGTATTCTGTGTAGTAGTCTTCAGGTTATCATACTACCAGATCAGGAAGAAACCTGAGCCCCAGGAAAACAATTCCCCCCCACCACTCTGTGACTTGTGGTGCCACCTTTGAAATCTCAACACAATGTTAAAAACAGTGTTGACAACTTTCTTTCAGTAAAATCCACTATTGGCCCCTTAATTTGTCGCTAGATTACGTTTTGCCGTTGCCGTGATGACGTCACAGCACCAATTTGCCTTGCTGCAGCACACCTGCGGTCCCTGACATAACGCTTTCGCCCCCCTCTCCCACCGCACACCCCCTCTCCCGCCGCACACTCCTGGTGCTCCCCTGTGTGTGGCCTTTACTGTGACTTCTGTTGCACAGACAGCTTATCCCACTCTCGTTTTCGGCCGAATTTAGTGGGGAAAAGTCGCTAAATGCTATCAAAACATTTACATTACATTTACGTCATTTAGCAGACGCTCTTATCCAGAGCGACTTACAAATAGGTGCATTCACCTTATAGCCAGTGGGATCACCACTTTACAATGTTTTTTTTTTGTTTTTTTTTGGGGGGGTTGGGGTTTGGGTTGGGGTAAGGGGGTGGGTAGAAGGATTACTTTATCCTATCCCAGGTATTCCTTAAAGAGGTGGGGTTTCAAATGTCTCCGGAAGGTGGTGAGTGACTCCGCTGTCCTGGCGTCGTGAGGGAGCTTGTTCCACCATTGGGGTGCCAGAGCAGCGAACAGTTTTGACTGGGCTGAGCAGGAACTATGCTTCCGCAGAGGTAGGGGAGCCAGCAGGCCAGAGGTGGATGAACGCAATGCCCTCGTTTGGGTGTAGGGACTGATCAGAGCCTGATCAAACCATATCAAAACCATAGAAACCTCTGTGTCAAAACTCCCCAAAGGCAGCCTCAAAAGCAGCTGAATTCGTCTCTAGAATCTTTTACCAATAAAAGTCGCTGGAGGTGTCTGAAAACTTGCTATATATAGCGACAAAGTTGCTAAGTTGGCAACACTGGTTACAAATAAAAAAAACATACCCTATTTGTATGATCTACGTTTTACATGTTTTGGTGGTGGAGATGGGCTTCCATAGTTTTATGTGGCTCAGTGCAGCCGGCAGCTACTGCGACAATTTCAGAATGTAACAGCATGTTACTTCAATTTATGTTAAAAACTAAATAAAACAAGTCTCAAATATTAGGAAAACGTCTATACATTTCAACTGTTTCAAAAACATTGTTCCGCTATTACCATTTATACTGTAGGAGTGTTGACTCAACGAGACAGGGGGGCAACTGTCGGGCGAGTGTCGTACACTACCTTCGGAGGTAGCAGTCGAAACATAACAAGTACGTAAGTTTACATTTGAGTAATATATGTAGCCGACAGTATTTTTACCATAAGTAAAGTGTGAGTAAAGTGTGAAGAGGTTCTTTCTTATTCTCAATGAATAGCATTATCGGTCTGAAATGTCAATTTACATAATATGAACATACACTTGTCACGAGCCGAGAGAGGGTTCAATTCATGTTCTTGCTTCGCAGCTCAAAAGTACTGTGAATGTCACAGTAGCCACTAGCCAGGAGGCTAAGCATTATGAACTACACTGAGTGTACAAAACATTAGGAACACCTGTTCTTTCTATGACATAGACTGACCAGGTGAATCCAGAGCTGTGTTCGAATACTCATACTAACTGCACTAACCTTACTATTTGTGACATAAATTGAGTATGTAGTGTGCTTATTGGTCATATTATGGGTATAGTTAGTATGCCAAATGTTCCTGGATGTCGTACTACATTCGCCAAAATACGAAGTATACAAGCGTGGACAATATTTCCGTGCTTTTAGGGCCCATAATGCAATTCATCAGAAAATGGGCGTGGCTTCACAACATTTTCAGATTTGAAGAAAGTGGTGGAAAATATGCAGCCGAAGTCCAACGAGAGTGGATACATATTCATTGCTTTAATTAATTATGACAAATGTTAAGAAAATGTTGAGCAATGTAATAAAGTAATGACTTTTCAAATAAGTTACGTTGGCTGACAATTTGTAAGCTACGCTATCCTTACGAACCGCATAGCATATAATTACAGCAGTATGTACCGGTA